GTGTACGAGCTACAACTGTCTCTGCTGTTCATGCCATTTGATAAATATATAAATGTCATCTTTATCTATGTATAATGATCAATTTTGGGTCATTGTCAGATAAGCAGAGATTTAAAAGGAAGATTTAAAAGTGTGTGTGACGAAACTGGTGTAAACATTGGCAGAGCATGAAGGTAGAGTAAATCCTCGGGGCAGAGCCTGGCAGCTTGGGGATGTCGGGGATGATCTGTGGCTGGTTTAATTCCATCCAGGGCCAAGCCGGGGCCAAAAAAAAAGTCCCAGGACTGAAGGAGGCAAAGCCACTTCAGCCTCCTCTGAGGAGAAAACTGCCCATTTTAAAGCTAGAGACAACAACAAAATCGATTGTTTCTTGGAATGGGCAATGCTGAATTACACGATTTGGGAAGTTAAAAGTCAGTGTAAAAGAACAGTGCTGATGCTGGGGGTAGAGGGGGATGATTGAGGGCCAGCACAGCTCATTTGTGAGGACAGACTGCAGAGAGAAAATGTTAGTTGACAAATTAAGTATGGAGGTGAGCACGTGCCGCTTGCCACAAGAATAGCGGGGAGGAGGTCAGAGGCATTTTGCTCAGTACATGTGCGGGATGAGGAGTTGCCTTTCAAACCAAGCGGATTTGTAGCGATGATGAATGGGGAGGAATCCCTCTGGGGAGAGGAAGGAGCTTCCTACAAGCCAAACTCTCTATATTAAAGAGTTTTCACCGTGGGAAACGCCAATTAAATCCCTCTAGAAAGCAATTGGGTTTGTATTGGTGAGCTGCTCTCTGCAGAGAGGGATGAAGGCTACCTGGGGTCTCACCCCACAGCTCCGGGGCCCCAGGCAAAGAAAATGTGACCCAGCGCCAGCACTATTTTTTGGTCTATGCCACAACCATGTGCTCTGACCCTTTTGGCAGATGAAGTATTTGTTTGAAGCCACAAATGACTGCCTGAAGGAATGATCATTGGATAATGGGGTCCTGCTCTGCAATTTGTCTGAGCGTGGGGGATGTGTCACCCTAAACCAGAGCGGTTGTGGCCTGTTCTAAGTTATATTCTGGAGCGAATTTTTGCTCTCTTGCTGTGCAGGACCTCTGGATGCCAAGTTCTCCAGCCATGCTCGCTGCTTCTTCACATCCCCTGAAAGCAATCACTGAGGGGTGATTGACATACTTAATAAATATGAATCTGTGGGTCTGCACCACAAGAGGGTTTTTTTTTTTGCGTATAATGCATGCACTATTCACAAATATTTTTCTACAGAAAATGAATTTTAAATAGGAAAGAGGCTCCTTCCTGTAAATCAGCAACTATAAATAGCAACGTGTGTATGTTGGTATATTTTTCCTTTTTTTAATGTCAGTAAAACTAAAACTCAGTAGTTAATACGTTTGTCCTTTTACAAAGAAATTGTGTTTTTTAGTCTTCCCGGAACTAATACTATATGGACTGAGATCTGGGTCATTCTGACTGCAGCACTCGATGGGGCTTTGCTGACTCCCACAGTAGCTGACAATTCAGCCCCCTAATGCAGCTAACAAACTACCTCAAAAAAAGACTACACACAATATGGTAAGAGATCTTTATTAAAAATTTTGTACATCAAATGATTAACTACTACATTTCAAACAAGAAACAAGATTTTACATATTACAAAAGATGTTATTACTTCTTGAATTAGAAATAAATTTTATGAACACTGTACATGATACATCTGAGCAGGAATAGGACTGAGTGCCTGAAAATGATATAACTTAATAAGCAAATGCACTCAATTCTTAGTATACAACATAATATTTCTGGAAAAATAGCATGTTAACTTCTGTCTGAAAATGCTGTATCCCTCTAACCAGTAACTACCAACAGTGTTCTCAGGAGAAAGCACAGACACATGCCCTGCGTGGTGATTTTCCATTTGGAGTTTCTTTTATTGTTGGAGAAATTTTCTTCCTATGGTCTGTTTTTCTTGGAGAGAGCAGAATGTTATTCTGTGCTATGGTTAACACAATCTGCATATAAAAACCCAATGCAAAACATTTCTCACAATGTAACTTTACCTCCAACCCAGATCAGAAAAACCAACTGATATTACATAAATGTCTACAGAAACAGATTTTTATTGACTGTTATCTTTTGTTACAAAGTAGTTAAAAAGAAGAAATATATTTTAGCTTATCAGATAACCCTTACTTTGTGTATCATTCATACTATATAATTTTTTTTCTTTTTGAGATTGTCAGTGTAGCTGCATTAGAATTTAAAATAAAAGCAACACAGAAGATCACCTTTTAATTGCATGACCTACTTGGCTAGGAAGGGTGTGTGAAGTTTTACAGGGTAGTATGAACATACAGTTCTCATACAAAAGCAAAGTATGTATCTAGTCCAAGAAAGGTAATAAAAAAGATTTAGATCTTTATACAGAAAGTGACAATGCCCATGTTATACTATGGAACACATCTACTAATTCTGAATTACAGGTGTAATGTGTGGATTAAAGATATCAACTTACTAAACAAATCTTAAAAAAAAAAAAAAAGAGAGCAAAATCTATAAATAAAATAGTAAGTGCTTTCTTTAAGATAATATTCTTTGGCTGCTTTAAGTGCCAGCGAAGGGTTATTGAAAACCACTAAAATGCGTAAGGTCCCACTATTATTGTTAATCTTAACACCGAGCTTGTACGATAATTCAAACTGTTGACTGTTAGCATCTCCAGATCCACAATGTGTTCTCTTGGTCCTGATAGTGATTTCACCAGTACAAGCATTGCACTTACGGCGCTTGTTTGCTGAAAGAACAACAACAAAAAAGTTTAATTCAGTCAAATCTAAAACGATTCCCTAGTTGCGTCAAGAGAGTGCTTGTGTGTTACCACACTCTAAAAATGCTCTGTCTCAGCACAGAGATACACAATGCAAGTATTCTTTTAACATTTTTAAATGGCCATGACTAATCTCACACCTGGCTTTGCTGCAGGGAAAACTTTACCTGACTGGGGCTCAGAGGAATAAACAGCACTGCAAAATCTGTTGCTAGTTATGCTGACTCTTCTGAAGGATGTGAAAAGTGGTAATCTATCCCAGAACGGTCTTTGTTTTTATCCCCATCTATCAGCTTTTAAAATATATGGAGAATAAGTAAAACGAGAGACCTGATGTCTTTAACAGTGATATAGCTTGTTCAGTGGAGGGAAACTCTAAGTCTGTCTCATGGCTCATACTCCAGAAGAAGTTGTGCTCCCCTTGTAAACACTGGGAATTTTTGCAGCTGGTGTGCCTATTGCCATCCCCATCTTGTACTGCTCCAAAGCTCTTTTCCCAATCTGGGATCATGCTGCTGGGGAACATTGACAGGCCTTGTCTGTGGCATGCTGCTAGTTTGTTAAACAGCTTCATCGTTTACAGATGAAAATAAAAGGGTAAACTCCACCTCTCCCCTCACCTACTACAAATATTTTCTCACCATGTCAAATGAATAGAGTATATAGATGAATCCAATCCATCTGCTGTATCTGAGACCCAGCTCAGACTTTTACTAAAACAATAGGAATAGCTTCCAAGGAAGCCTTTGTTTACCGCAGTCCCTTGGCAGGAATAAACACATGCTTCCCTATTTAAGGCCTGCGATTCCTTGTTGGGTGGCAACAGAAGATGGGAATTGTTAGTCTGAAGAAAGTCATCCAAAGGCTAAATTGGCGTCTAACCCAAGCTAGAGTTGGAGTGATCTTGTTCTTTTTAAAGCAAATAACTGTGTGTATTTTGGGGGTAGGTATGGGGTTTTGATGTGTAATAAATCCAGGGAAAAGCACTGGATTATAGGTTATACCAGAACAAGTGAGATACAGATGAGTAGTTCCTTGTTCCCATCTTGGGGAAACATGGTGTAAATAGGCAATGCTATATCTTGGTACACTTTTTGGATGTATTATCTAAACCCCCTAATCTTCAGATTTGAAGAAAAATAAACAAAAATTAAAACCTTCCAATTAATATATTTCTGATGTAATTTTTTTGTGCTGATTCTGTTTTACTGAGTGTAAAGCCACATATGAAGCAAAAAGGATTTCCCAGGAATTTGTAAATATTACAAGTGTCCAAGAAAATGAGATTTCTTCCAAAAAAAAAATCTTAAAAAGCAGATGTTATAGATGCTTTCATTCATGTGTATCTACTTGAATGCATTATACCAACAGGAAATACTGCTATTGCAAATCATTTGAACTTTCGTGGTTTTCTGAAGTAGTTGCAGCATTTTGGGAAAATAAAGATTTAAGTATGTCTCAACACAAAACCTTTGCAAATTGGCCTGAACTTAACATTCTAGAAATCAGTGCCCCATCCCAAGCTATTATTCTTTACTTTTTCAAAAAAATGAGAAATTTAATAAAAGTAATTGTACAAGGAATCTTTCTGTAATCCTCTCCTAAACACATATATATGGGGTGTTGGTACAGAGAGTGAAAAGCATAGAGGTATTTCATTTGTATCTGACATGGGTGTCACAGGATTGCTAAATATTCATGATTGCTACTAGTGTTGTATTCATTTGAAAAACAGTTGGATTCTCAGTTTAGAGTTTTCAGGTAGAGAAGTAAAAGGCTTTTTAAAACTTGGAAACCAAGCACATTTAATAAGGAAGTATTAAAAAGTTGATAAACTTTGCAATGCTGTGATACTCTTACGGGAACACTTGACGGATCTGTCAAAACGGCAAGGCACTGTAACACCTTGGTAGCACCAGTGGTCTTTATACCCTGCTCAGGGTCCAACTCCCACCAATACTCACTCTCAGGTAAAATTCTCCATTTTCGTTTCCAGACTTGATCCGGAATGTGTTAATAGTATTAGGGTAAATAGTGGTTGCCTGAATCTGGAAGATATCAGAGGGCACTGTTCTGTCTGAACGGATGCTCATGTATTTGTACACAACAGAGTAAGGCAGCTCTCGGCAAATGGCATTTGAAACAGGGCAGACACAGCGGCTGAAAAACAAAAAGGGATGAAACTGTGATAGTTGCAAACAAATGGTACTTGCTTTCTGTTGTATTTATCATGTTGCCTGTTGAGGATGATCCTAAAAAGAAAAACTAATTTTTCTCTTACTTCTCAGATGTAAGGACATAGGGCTCTTGACAAGGATTTCTTGGGTAACAACGAAATCCTCCGTGGTAATTCCAGCAAATTTCATCCTCTCTGCATTCATTAGTAGTCTCGCACTCATTTATATCTAGAAGGAAGGAAAAGGGACTGGGTCAAAGCAGGTGGAAATGAGTTTCCCACAAAAACAAACACAATGTCCTCAAAACAAAAACTTGTCTGTTGAAACCCCACAGGTTTCAGTGTTCTTTACCTGCCTTTCTGGGGCTGGGCTATAAAGGTTTTCTCTATGCAGAAATGGAATAAATTTGTTTGTGGAGTGTTAATTAAGTCTGAAGATTTTTTTTTTAGTTGACTAAAACATATTAATCATTTGTAAAACAACTGTAGAAGTTGTGAAGATTCTAATTAGCAAAGAATGATTTTATACTGGAAGATAACTTGTAGACAGAAGAAAAAGGTTTTGAGGAAGAATTGTGATTTCCTGCCTTTTGCACATTCTCATTTTTAATTGCCTTTAAAACCTGAGTTTTATGGTCTAATTAAAATGCTTAGTTAATGGCTACATTTTAACTAAAATAACTTTGAAAGGAATAATGAAAATTTGTTTATTGTGCAAAGTAGAGCTTCCTTTTTTGCCTGGGAAACTAACCCTGAATGGAGGTGGGGACTGTCAGACTTGTGCTGTATTAATGCTCTATTATCCTGTCAGTGCCAGAACCCCACTACTGTCTACCTATATGGTCTCCTGAAATTAACACAGTCACAGAAAGGGTTTATTCAAATGTAATCTCTCGGAAGGCACAAACAGATTTTTAGATGGTCAAACTAACTAACCCCACAATGTTCAGTATCAGCTGCTGTTCTTAAGAAGGGAAAGAAATTAATTTGAATTTTATCAAGAAATACTAATTAAAAATGAGTTATTTCCTTATCCCTTCTGCCAATAATTAGCACACCTATTTATTTCTAAGACTAATGACTGTTAAATTGGTTTCTGGATTACATAAGCAATGGTTCTTGCACTTAATATGTTGTTCTGTAATATTCTCTACTAAGATGCAGAGACATTTAGCACCACTGAGGAAAAAACATAGACTTTAAAACTCCGGCATTCGGTGGCACCTGACCAGAAAGTTTATTTTCTAAACACAAATTATCTAAGCTGCTCTAGTCTTGCATTTTTCTCTTGTTATCAGAAGAAACATATCTTTCATTTCTACTGTGGCTGGATTTAGGAACCACTATAAAATGAAACATGATATAAAGCCATGTTTAGCGTCTGCAAAAACCAGCCTGTTTTTTTCAGAGATATTTATCTCTGAAACTTAGACTCACTACTGTGGCATCTGTTTTACCTGAGGGTTGCAAAAACTGAAATTTTGTCCTAGGAATCTGAAGGACTTAGCGTTTGAGCTGAAGGATTCAAATGTGAATTAATATAAGATAAAGAATTTTATGATGAATTGCATATCAACATATCTTTTGCTAACATAATGGTAATCCTGTCATGAAATATAAACACTTAGACAGCAAGCATTCTTAGTCTTGCCTGAAATGGTGGTGTTAATAATGCAATATTGAGACTGCAGAGATGAGGGCACTTACCTTGACATGTTCTGCCTCCTACTACCTGGTATCCTTCAGGGCAGACACATGAGAATTTTCCTGGTTCATTGACACACTGATACTGACATATATAACTTGAGGTTCTGCATTCATCAGTGTCTGTAGAGAGCAAAAGAGCTTGAAGTTATTGGTTTTTAACATCTACCTTGTTACAGAACTAAATATAATAGCTAAATGCTGGTTCTAACAGGAAAAAATGAATTCTGTCTAAAAAGAATAAGTTGTCAAAAACCTGAAATGTACTGCTTAATGCCTCAAAGTTGCTACCAGAAGGGCTAGTTCTACCTGCGTTTTATCAATGATCTTCCAAAATGAGAATCTTGGATTTGAGGAAGCAAAAGCTAAATTAGATTTCAGAACATGTTTCGGAAAATAACTCTTGAAAGAATTGATACTTTTAGTATTCCAAAATGTGATTACTTTGGAATGTGAGATTAGTCAGTAAGGCAAAAATACTGCCTTTGTATTTGTGCCCTACCCTCCTAATGGAGTAGCTCTTTGGGAAAGAGGGTAAGGCCTATTTTCAAATAATAATCAGCATATACCATTCTCTTTTGCTTTTTTATCCTTGCGTAACTATCAGTCGCTTGCTAGAAAAGTGTAGCATGAAACAGAATTTAAATTAAATTAAACCTATCAAAACTAGGGAATGGCTTGGAAAACAGCAAAACTCCCTCCTACCACCTCTGAGGCTTGAGCCCAGTTCTTGATTTTGTCAGGGATGTCCTTGGAGGCTGCATACTTGCTGCTCCCTGTTCTGTTCACTTGCAAGTAGGATTAGCTTAAGAAGCTTGGAGAGGGAGCATCTGTAATAGCTCTGCTGGCTTGTTTAGGAGGGCAGTGGTAAACCAAAAAGACCTCTTTGGCTCAAAAACTGGTAGAAAGGATATGGGCTTTAAGGGTGAGATCATCATGTGTCCAAAAGGAGATTAGAGGACCCCTGTGGAGACTCTGGCAGAGGAAATAAAGTGTTGATTGTATAATCATCAGGAGACATGCTGTTTGTATACACAGGCTTGAAAGCACCTCAAAAGCACAATTGTCGCTTCCTTAAAAATCAAAAATTTGAGGTTTTATTTTCAGAGGAGCCTAACAACACACAAAATTGCACTTGTTTTTGGTTTGCATTCCTTTCTGATTCATTTAATGGTCATCAGCATTAGACCACACACAATTCAAGTGAGTTTGTGAAATAAGTATTCAGAAGCCTTATTCTTCCCAGCTGTGACCTGAAATGTAGTAATGTCTGTCCTGTTTTGCACTTACTATTAAAGAGATATACCCATATCTACATGTACCTGAATGCAGCTGCAGCTACTAAGGTGTGTATTAGCAACCACATTTGCAACATAAAAAGTGTCTTGAGGGTTTTGGCTACAAACTGCACCCACAGTGTGGCTTCACTCAAATTATATCCCTTAATTCACAGAAAGACTTCTGGGAGAATAATAATAATTTAAAAAATCGCTCTTCCAAGACAAAAAAAATTGCTTACCTTCACAGTTGATTCTGTCACTGCTTAACTCAAATCCGGGATTACACTGACAGATGAAAGAACCCAGTATATTGTAACACTGTTGTGCACATGGGTTATTGGCATCACATTCGTTTATGTCTGAAAGGAAAAATTACAGATCTTTATCTTGTGTAGCTGGTAATTAGGCTGATTAAGTGGATTAGTCCTTAGTCTGGGTCTATTGCTTAGCAGAAGCTCAGTTGAATATATTTATATAGATCTGCAGTCACTGGAACAATGTCAGATCTATGCTTTACATTCCATGTAGAAAGAATATTTTTCCAGGAATGAGAGTTATTCTAATGTGTAATGAATTCTTCAAAAAATGTTTAGTATGGCTATTAAACTCCACATTCCAGCATCTTTTTTCAGGTATGAAATGCCAAGTCCCAAGTCTCTATAAATAATTGATATAAGGAACACATACTGATAAGACCTCTCAGCATGCAGTGGTTAAGATTTATTTGAGCTATTTATTACTCTTAAAATTTGTTCTTTTAAATTCCATTACAATTATAACATGAGCCTTTGAGGCCAGTAGAGTTTTGCAATGCTCTAAGGCCTAGACCATATTGGGGGAAGGTATGTTTCTGTGCTAGATTTTTTCCATGATGTGCCCATCCTAAGAACATATGTGAGAACACTGTGGTATGAGAAGAGAAGCAATTTTTAATGGGAAGTTTATATAACTGTAATCACCTCTGGAATCTATAATACTTGTTTTTCATAGACTGTTGACTAACTGCTGCTCCTCTGCCATTCACTCTGTAGATTTTAGTGTATTTTCCCTTGTATTCTTTCCCTGCATGTTTTTCCATTCGTATTTGTGTTTATCAGATACAACTGTTAGTAGAAAGCTGCATTTGAAAAAAAAATCTTCAGTTCATGGCTTTTGCAAATCCTTCTAAATTTCAGCAACGCTCAGTCATTTACAGGCCCCGCTAAAAACTGACAAAGATGACTAAGATTAGGCATTCACACAAAACTACACCAAGGAGGAGGATATTAATTCTCTATATGATGAATCTCCCAGTCTTGAAAATTTATGGTAATAAGGGAAAACTGATTATAAAGTTTTTTCTTCTTCCTTTTAGTTAATTTCTGGCAACAGTGCAAAGAATGTACATCATGACAATGCTACCAGAAGGAATAAATAACCTAGCCAAAGTCACAATTCTATTTGTTTTCCTTCCAAGAAATATTGACCCACTTTCAATATATGCAAAAGTTGTAACACAAATGTAATCGGTACAGCTGTCAGGTATCACTTCTCCCAGATGACACTTGCAGATGTGAAAGTCTGTCTTGATGCAGCAAGCATTCATTTACAAATTTTCTTCTTAAGATTTACTTCACCTTTCCTGGTGGCAGTATGCCTTATTAGGCTGGGAGAGCCTAATAAGAGCAAGTCAGAGAAGGGGTGTTTTGGTGAAGCACCTAGCAAACTTGGAGCTGTCATGGATTTGTGAGTGTAACTGAAAGAATACACCTTGCATTTGAGCTGTGGAAAGGGTCGAATGAGTAACAACTTGTCACATGGTTGTGTTGTGTCCATGTGCAATTTTTTATCCTATCATTTGGTGAAAAATAAGAAATTCCTCTCCCATTTCAGTGCTATGCAGTGTGCCAGGGTACTTGCTGAGATGTGGCAATGCTTGGAAGTAATGGCAGAAGCTGGAAAACCCAGATTGATTT